GCCGTGCCGTATACATCGCGGTTTGAGCGATTTTAATTTGCTTATAACTTCCAATATGACGCGAAGTTTGCTACCACGATGTTTTGTCCGTGTTACTACGTTGCCTGAGCTTTACCTCAGCGCAAGCTTTCGACCAGTCAGAAAATCAGTGGAGGGCCCTTCCCTTTAAACATCTTGGGATATGGGGATTTTGAAGAAACATTCCGGCAACAAATTTTACTCAGAACAAAAAGTGTAAAACTATTTGATTGAGCAGACCATTAAGCGATAAAGACTGGGCAATTTGTGGGTATAGTAATTCAATTACTGTAATTTCATTCCTTTCTCGGTAATTTGCAATAGCAATTAATTACTTTCGGCTAAAAGAAATTGTAATTATAATTTAATTTCTTGCTTCAGTATTTGCAAAATTTCAGGCACAATTACAGATACTTTTACAAGACTTGGCGGCGCCGTCGGAACTTCTCTGAAAGCCTCAGCACTCGCACAAGCGGCCTAGCGCTCGGTGACACACTCGCACAAATGGACACCCACGCTCAACAAAAATAGCGTCATGTTGTTTGCTCTCTTAATTGCTACTTACATGGTGGGCTGAGAGAATCCCATTTGGAGCCTACCTCAACCGCGCCGTGTGGCGCCGTCTGCGATACGAGCTGAAAACAATGGCGTAAACATTCCAAAATATTGAAAGAAAGAAAAAAATTGAGCTTCAGCTTTCAGCTGAGGTTAGAAATTTTAACTGTCTAGGAAGCTTTTTTTTTAGTTTGTTACGTTTTCTTCCAGTACTGTCGCATATTTGTATATTTGTATCTTGTTCAAGATTATTTCCTGTTGGTGTTACGTGGGATATTATTTGCACAAGCATTTTCAGGACTGACCTCGCACATGTGAATTTTGTCAGCAAGGATACGGAAGCCCGGTTCGGTTCTTGTATATTTCTGACCCATTATAATTTCAACTCAATGTAAATATTTTACAATAACATGATTTTTGTATGTGAATGTGATCGTATGAGCGCGTGTGGATTTTAGTTTTATAGTAACACTAGTAAAATGTGCATAAATGACTAATTGTAACATTTTTATTTCCCCGGCTAACAAAAGTCTGTCAACCCAATATTTTCTTTAGCGATCTGGCATCTTCCAGCATACGAACTAATTTATTATTATTAATTAAAAGTATAAGAACGTAGGACTTCCTTGCCCCGTACTGTAAAGATCTATTATGATTATAACCAAATTCATAAAAGGAAACTACAATTCATGACATTTATACAACGATTCTTAAGCCTCCTCAAACATAGGGACAAAGAATGAACAAATGGTCTGCATTCTATGCAACTCGTTTAAAGTTATATTGTCACGGGTGGTGACCAGAATAACAATAACTGAACAGAAAGAAATAAACGTTTAATGTGACGAACTTGTGCCAAAACTAAAAGGGTACAAAGATAATAACAGAGCGTCGTGGGCGTCAAGTCGGCGAGACAGCAGAGTCGAGCGCTGGGGCGAAACTGACTCCGGCTTGCCACGCGGAGCCGTTTTTGTACACGCGTTGGCTTCTGGAGCATTGGACGTAGAAGGTTCGACGCGTAGAACATTCTAAACTCGAATCGGCTAGACGGTTCTCGAATTCACCAGAACATCTAATTGCAGTGTTAACAAAATGCGTAGCCGCGGCCAGGAATCGAACCCTGGCCCTTCGCGTGGGAGGCAAGCGCGATAGCCGTTAGGCTACGGCCGCGCTGCCTACTTGGCGTGCGGCAATATATGGCCCAAGCCAGGTCGCTGTCAGAAATAAGTAATTGTAAAGTAATTGCATTACTTTTTAAAAGTAATTTAGAATTGTAATTAATTACCTTTCACGTGGTAGTATTTGTAATTGTATTTAAAGGGAGGCTACGGAGGTTCTTGAAAAAAAAATGGCTTAGAAGTGAATTCTAGTATATTTTTACCTCGTGAACCCGAATACCCGAACCGTTTGCTGCGCAAGTATTGCTAAACGCGAGAAAACGCGACAGTCGCTGTACGTGACGTCATCGACGGGTCTTTTGGGTGCCCAAGGCTAGGGAGGCGGGGCTTCAGCCCTACCGTGAAATTGCTCTTGTGGCTCTCCGGCGCGTCGTATTGAAATAGAATTGTGATATCTGTTATTCTAAAGGCCACATGAACGCAATTCAAGTGTTTTCTCTCAAATTCAGAACTGCCCCATCTTGCTTTTCAACTACTTTTGAAGCAAAGTATTTGTAATTGTAATTAAATTACAATTTGGAAGTAATTTACCCATGTATGTAATGCTGTAATAGTCGCGCGTCAGCTGACTTCCGGATATTGCAGGAAGAGGTCTTTGGAAATTTATTTTTTCATATAGTTTCTACTTGCTTTCACTGCTCCCTTTTGTTTTTTGTGGAATTTTTCCCATGGGTTGTGAAAATAATCAATGCTAAAACCGTACAACACCAATACAAGTTAATACAACAATATATCACCGATATTTAGAAATCTAATGATTTTTGCTGATTTTTCAAACTGAAATTTACTACTAGTTTTGGGGAGCTGTGGCAACACTGTTCCTCCGTGTTGTGCGGTTGACGAAGGAATTGTGACTCAAGGAACAGCAAAAGTAGGACGTAAAGTGTGCGAAGTAACTGGATGTCGGTTGTCTCCGTTTAACATCGCAGTACTGGCGACGAGAAGACTCAGTAGATGCTTTTGAAACGCAAGTTTCTGTGCCTACGGTGGGAATCTGGCTTCGGAAATAAACACAGTTCGCGGAAAGCTCGTGCTACGCTTTTATTTGCTTCTCTCGTCCCGTACAAGAGACGTAGCGTCCTCGTTAAGCCTTATTGAGCACGATTTGCTCGATTCGGGGCTGCCATATTGAGATGCAGGCGACTGAGGAAATTTGCTTCTTTGCTTCAGGGATGAAAGTTTCTCCCTTTCTAGAGGAACATAGGTTACAAGACCGTTCCTCCCCTTAGGGAGGACTATCCATACCCTTTTTTCTAAGAATGTACAACTGGTTTTGGTTTCCACGTATGGATCCACAAAGCATCTTTCTTTTAGAACGCAGCTCTTAGGCGCCCGTTTCCGGCTTGAGCGGCGTTGGCGTAACCGCGCGGTGCATTATGGGAATGCGTGACGCCACTGATGACGTCATCAGTGACGTCATCGTCACTAATGACGTCATCAGTGACGTCACTGATGCCGTAATCGGCATCCGCATCATCGTCACTGATGACGTCATCGGCATCCGAATCGTCATCGTCACTGATGACGTCACTAGTGATGATGAGGTCATCAGTGACGTCACTGATGGCGTAATTGTCACGTGACCCCCGTGAGGTCACGTGACCCTTGTGAGGCGACGGCGACGCCGCTTGGAGGGAGGACTAGCAGACAGGGTGAGGAGGTGAGGAGGAGGGAGGAAAGATATACCTTCCCCTCAGTACCCTTCCCCTCCTCCTCCTCAAGAGCTGGGCTCTTATTCGGCGTTACAGGGAGTTGTAAACGGCTTTAATTTTCAACAGGAGGTAGTTCACAGAGTCTTCTGGATCTAACAGTGCTGCTGCCATGATCTCGTATCGTTATTTCGTGTACGCCTCCATTTTTCTACTCTGGTCAGCGCGCACCGAGGCTTGTTGTCGAGAGTGTGACCGCTAATTGCGTCTAATAACACTGACACAACTCTTGGCTCCCCGCCGTTCGTGTGAACGCTTCAGTCGGGGTTCGAGTTCCGCTGGTTCCGCCGGTCACTGACGTCACGCACATACCTCCCCGAAGAGCATCCCTCGCGTAAATAAACCTTTAGCGGAGTTAAATTTTCCCGCCTTGCAGTGGTATGAACGACGTTATATGAATGTTCGAGCGAATGGGAGACTTAGAGTGACACTCTTGGTTGTAGTGGAGTGAATATTTTAATTACATCGCTCATGAAGTAAATACAGAGGTCTCTAAAAAGTTTATTGCCTCATAAATGTCTTTTTATATTCTTTAAAATTAGAGCTAGGGTTTCGAGTTTCTTTTAAAGTGTTTGACTTTCCTCGCGTTTTCAGTACGACAAAGAATCCCCTAGAGCTGGCTTCTAGTGTTCATGTTCTGGCATTGGTCCTAGAAGACCAGGAAGGCAACGCAGCTTCAGAACCCTGTCCATGAAACTCAACAACACGTACTTATTGCGCGTTTGTTCTTTTGGAGTTCAATCACCTCAACCTTTTTGTAATAAAGTAAAAAAAAAAAAATAACAATAACAAGCGACACGAACGGCGGATAATAAAACCAACACACAGCAAGAATTCAGAGTGATTATTCCTACCGCAAGCTTTGGGTAGCAGAGAGGCATAAATTAAAAGTGAGAGAAGGAGAGAGTTATCAAGAGAGAAAGAAAGGGAGGTATATACGAAGGGCAATGAGAGAAATGGACAGTCGTACAAATACAAAATAACTGGTCGCAAAAAAAGCTTATTTTTTTTTCTTTTTGATGAGCGTTTGAATAGTGGTTTACGTTCGAATAGCTTTGACGTCAGGACTGGTCATGTGAAGCTGATAGGGAAGGGGAAGGGGGGAGGCATCAACGCTAACCGCCGTTATCTTCTACTCCTGAGTCACCGCTGTCTGTTTGAAAGAGGGAGAGGACTCTCGAAACGGCCGATGACAACGGAAGTGCAAGTTCACGTTGATGGGCTCCCACCTGTCTGCTCCACATAGACGAGCCCTGACGTTAGCGCTGGTTCGAACGTAAGCCACCAGTCAAGCTCTCCCCACAAAAAAAAAAGAAAAGAAAAAAAAAAAAACGCCCGCTCGCGTAGTGTTATTTTAGTATTTGCATGACTGCACGGAGTCGAGAGCTCATTGAACCCCAGCTGCACCTGTATCAATCTCTGACTGAAAAAAAAAAAAAAAATGGGAACGTATTTTCTTTTAAGGGCATAAAGGGCACACAGAGGGTGAGAGATAAAAGGACTGACAAGGGCTTCAATAATATAGAGGTACAGGCGCACAGACAGACGGTATAAAGCCTGTGAAACGCCACATCCCACATCTGGACTTGGTTCTGGCTGGGAAACATCCGATCAATAGACGCACATTTGAGGTAAGCGTTTCCCTCTTCACCGAAAATCGGTCTTTTTGTTCGGCAATTTGTGCCAATCGACAAAGCGGGAATAGGCGGCACCGATCGTGAACCTTTTTTTTTTATTTTTCTTAAACGAAGGAATTATCTAGCGCCAAGTATTCGAATGGTTGAGGTGAACACGTTCTCGAAACCGCGGTTCGAGCGCGAAAACACACATGCACCCGGACATCGCAAGAAATTAAGAGCATTCGAAAGTCGTTCCGCACTAATTTGTTAGAAAAAAGGAAAGAAAACGTAGCACGCGTGGGGATTTATACAGAGTGTTCCTGAGAGTTCTGAGGCGTAAAAATATTCGTCTAAATAGACAAAAAAAATAAAGAGTTCGTCGAAATTTTTTACAGACCTGACTTTTGGTTCTCTCATTTATTATATTCAAATTTTATAAGTGTGTAGGTTTTAGAGGAAAAAACTAAGCCTAAAAAGACCAGTTTGCTCTTTTTTTTTAATTTCAATCCACAGGTAACAAACCGACAAAGAAACGTCTGGTTGTACTTGCAGGTGGTTCACCACACCCTCGGATCTTGCTGGATCTGATCTCATGTATAAATCTAAAAAAGACTATCACGTTTCTTATTTATGTCATTCCATCTGTGATTTAGCAGGGTCATCCAAACGGTTTTTTTGGTTTTTCTCTTTGTGCATTAAAAAAACAAGTTTTTCTTTGACTTGGAATTATCTTTTTTTTTAATTTTAAAATTGTTTACCATATCTGCATTCTTGTTGTTGGTGATATAGTGTTGATTGTGGGGATAATAAATGAAAGACGTTTACAATTCCTTGTAATGCACAATTAGAGCGCAACTCTTAAGGAGGGGGAAGGGAGGGTACGGAGAGCGGGGTATGCCCCTCCTCCTCCTCCGTACCCTCTCCTCCTCCCCTCCTCTTCCTCACCCCTACTCTATCCTCCTCCCTCGTGACGTCACTCGAGATCCTCGGGACATAACTCGTGACCCTCGTGACGTCACTCCCGACCTTCGTCGGGGACTTCACTCGTGACCTTAGTGACGTCACACGTGAAGTTATTATGGGAAGCGTCCCATAATGCAACGCGCGGTTATGCCGACGGTGAAGGCGACACCACAGCCGGAAACGGGCGCCTAAGAGTTGCGCTCTAAAAGTGAGAGCTTTCCTGTTTGAGCAAGCCGGTACTTCGAATTCACTGTGCATAAAAGTGTTGAGTCAATGCTTCCCTGAACTATTCTATGTAAAAAGGCAACATAGCGCGATAATCTTCTTATAGACACTGTAGGCCTAATTTGTCAAACAGGAGTTCATAGTCGTAAAAATACCTACGGCCAAGTATTTGTCATAGATTATACGCACTAGGCGTCTTTGAACTGACTCTTTTGGCTGCATCATGTGCAGTGAGCGAATTCTACACTAGCAAGCCGAAATCTAGTCTAGATTTGATAAAGGAACAGAATGGACGAAGGAGATAAGCATACTTCACGAACTTTCTAGTTAATCGGTTAATCTTTACCAATAATCTAAATGCAGAACAAACAATGTAGGTGACATGGCAGCCAAACGAAAGAGTGGTGTCAAAGTGAACTCCAATTGATCACGAAGCGATGAAACTCTTAAAATACATTTTTCATCAAGTGAATACGAATAGTGCAGCATTTCAGGTATTTTACTGAAAGACAAGGCCTTAGTTTTTTCTGAATAAATGATTAAGCAATTTTCCCGGCACCGATTACAATATTCGATGTGCCACACTGAAGAAGGCCACAGTCGCCAATCGAACTAATACTCAAAAAGAGCTTGTTATCGTCCGCGAATAACAACACGCTTGAGTTTACCACGCAAATAGATATATGTCATTGATAAAAATCAGAAACAAAGTGGACCCGAATTTCAGCCCTGTGGTACTCCCGATAATGGAGTGCAAGGATCAGAAAAATTATTTGAAATGCGTACAACACAGCTACGGTCAGCTTGCAAGACATTTTAAAAGCACAAGAGAAGCCCCATTTTGTGACAATTTGTGCAATCGCAATGCGTGGTTCACCATATCGAAGGCCTTTGAGAGGTCAAAATAAAGCACGTCACCTTGGCCGCGATTGCATACAAAAGGTACTGAATATTCAAGAAAGGTACAAAGGTTTGTCTCGACCGGGCGTCCCGTGATAAAACCATGCTGATGAGAACAGATACGTTGCTTAAAATAAAAAGACAGACGAATGTGCATCCCCACCTCAAATACCTTTGCAAAAGAACATAACAAGGGTACGGGGCGATAGTTCCCAACTTGCATCTTTGGAAAGCGGTTTGCCTTGACTCAATCGGCCGGGTATTGAAAGCACACAAAAGCAGACAGCGTCCCAACAGACTTTCTTCTAAATTATCCAAGCATCGCGAGGAGAACGCTGGAAGTGTAATTCTACGGTCCACGCGCGCTGGCCTTCCTATTATAAAGGATTCGAAGTAAAAAATCATAATAAGGCTTTAACGAACGCGGGTGCAAGGCAAAATTTGTTTTATACTTTTTGCTTTAGAACGGTTACTATACTCTCTTTCATACTTAGCGTGCAACGCTGTCAAAGCTACTGGCGCGAGCGTGGGGCTTGATCTCGTTGATCATTTGCACTCGTTCTCGCGCAAACAAAACCATAAATGAAGCCACGCGCTCGCGCCAGTAGCTTTGACAGCGTTGCACGCTAAGTATGAAACAGAGTATAGCAGACGCCAGCACGTGCGACGCGTGCAACTACAGTCGTAGCATGCACCTCGGTGCTTGGATAATTTAGAAAAAAGGTATGTTGGGACGCTGTCTGCTTTTGGCTATGTTCCAAATCTTACCCGAGTAACCTGCCTCCTACGTCAGCGGGTAATACCACGTGACATCGCGAGTAAACGATCCGCGACTCGATTTTGGAACGGCCAGGATAATCACCTGATACTACGCGGATTGGCTTCGTCTTAGGCGACGGCAAAAAGAAAACACAGCAGCGATGGCAGAAAATAGCAGACGATCCTTTTGATCATGGAAAAAGCACCCGAAGAACGGTAATGTTAATGACGACGCAGTGTATTTTGAGGTGGATCCACCAGCTCCTTTTACTCACCTTCGTTTTGAGCTGTATATTGAGATCAAAATTACTCACTCCTTACAGCTAGACATAAAAAAATGTGTTTTTATTAATCAGCGCGATCGCTGCAATTCTAGTCACGGTGCCCTAAACGCATATATTCCACGCATTGTAATTTGCACCGATTATGTTTTGCAGAAATATATTCCACACGGTGTAGCGGTACAGCGCGAGGGTGCTTTCTCCAGAGTGATATGAAACTCACGTTCGCTTTGTATTTATGTATGTATCTTTTATTTCAGACACGAATGTGACGCGAATGTGATTACAGTGAAATTTTCGAAGCCTTCACTGCTTTACAAACGTTATCCTCTCATTACACACATTCTAGAGGAAACAAAAATACTACATTATCATATACCGAGTTCAAACATTTTCGGCCTTGAACGTGAGAATACGGCACTCCCCCAACGCCGAGGACGAGGATGCGGAGAAGCTCCTGTTTACGCTCGCACTCAGATAATAACAAGTACACGTTGCCGGGGAAGGTGGACGGTCTGGATGTAATGCAGTCAATTCCTGCGTTGACAACAGCAAATCGCAATAACCACACATGCTGCACCTAATTCTTTGTCATTTCGAACGTCCGCCACCAAAACCAACGGAGCAAGCGAGCTTTGACGGCTGTCGGCGCAGAAAGCAGACGACGAACAGATCACGTGACGTATTTACTCGATTTGATCCGACTTTACCCCCCGATCGAGGAGGGTAGCGCGAGTAATTACTCCGGAGTAAACAACCCGCTTCTGGAACGCGAGTTCTGACGTCATCGAGTAAGCTCGAGTAAGTTTTGGAACGCCACGGTACGAAACTTTTACTCCGGAGTCGGATCGAGTAAATTTTGGAACACAGCCTTTGTGTGCTATCAACAATCCGCTTTCCAAAGTCGTTGCCATGCCGACAATTATAGCGTTCATTTAGGCTTAGGAATGCCCAGAATCGAAAGACTAACTAAAAAATGCGGCGATGTTATTTCCCATGCTTTGCGGTTTAAGTGAGGTAAAGCAAAGCGAAAGCCTTATGCACCATTCGTTGCTGACTATCGCGCCCGATATTGCAGCTACAACGACATATTATTTCCAAAGCGAGTGGCGCTCACTCGCTGGGGCGCCGCCATGTTTCCCCGCAACCCTACCGAGCCAGTCACGTGATTTAAAAAAAAACCTCTCCTAGGTACTGCGGCTAACTTTAGCCGCGGTTAGCGCTTCGAGCAAACGGACCCAGATGGTCGAAATTAATCCTATGTTCGCTCGCGCGTGCTACATAAGCTTGTATGATTTGGCTCAGAACTCCTAAATTTTACTTTTAACGCTGTTTTTGTTCGTACTAGCCTCCCTTCGTTCTGTGTATCCTGCATGCAGGAGAATAAACACGTTGTACAGTGCTTCCCAAATTCTGCTACCCTGCGACTCATAAAAAATATAAGACGTCGCATAGCGAACCCCCCTTCCCCTTTTCCTCCCCCGGATTTTCGCGATGCCGCAAGCTTTCCGATTTTAGTGCAGTACAGAACAGTAATACGTACAATTGGCTCTAACATTTTATTTGACATTCAATAGTATAGTCAGAGTGAAATACCTGTGCTAGAAGACATATAAAAAAACAAAAAAACAAAACCAGAAAAAAACACGTGTAAGTCATTAGGAATGATTGTTCTGGGGGCTTGTTAGTTAAAGAAAAGATTTTCAAAACGAGCGCGATGTTTGGACTCTCCGAATCTATGCTCCCGTTTGATGTCGACCTGCGACCTGTACTCAGTGTTGTAAGCATTACCGAAAAAAAAAAGTAACGAAATACGTTACTCGTTACAAAAAAAAAAAAAGGAAACGCGTTAGCGACCTAGATTACTTTAAAATAAGAGGAACG